CCTCCTCCTCCTCCTCCTCCTCCTCCTCATTAAACCAAACCATTAAGCCATCTGCGAGCACTCAGAGTTGTCAGGAATGTCAAAGCCCATCCAGTTAACGAGGGCCGAGTGGATTTATGTCCCTGCAAAGGGCAGGAATAGGTCTGACTCAACCTCAGAAGCCCGGAACTCGTGCTGCAGGGCTTCTCACGAGCAGGACGAGGAGGAGGAGGCAAGCAAGCCAGGCCCTCCCCTCTGCTTTCCAGTGCTTTGCCCTGATGTGTGCTGTTGGTCACCCCTAGGCCTGGCCTGGTGCCCCAAGTAAGGTCTCCCTGCCAGGGCATCAGAAAGGCCACCATGGGGGTCCCATTCCTCCCAAAGGCAGGGACTTTGCTACACACGCAGGGCAGTAAAAATAGATTTTTGTAGGCAAAACAGAGCCTTTTAACCACAAGAGGCTCACAGGAAACGGTGTCAGTGGTGAAGGTGGAGATGTCACTGCACTCCAGCCCCTGACGTCCAGGCCCTGTCCAGCCTCTCTGAGATCCGGGACTGAGCCTCCAGGGCCCGGGCCCCTGGGTGGCATCTGGGCCACCAAGGAGCATCCCACCCAGAGCTGCAGGAACAGCACCTCCAAACCTCCACACCTGGCTCTTCCTCCTGCAGGCCCTCATGGGCTCGTTTGTTTTAATCATTTTTTTTTTCCTGGTATGGAATGGAACTCAGGGCCTCGCACAATCCAGGCAGGTACAGCACCACTGAGCTACATCCCCAGCCCCGTTTTAATCTTAAAAATGAGCCCAATAACATCTCCTCACCTATCTACTGCGTGCAAGGCTGGAAACGAATGAGCTCAGAGACAGGAAGAGGCAGACTGCAGACGGTGCTCGCTGATAAGAACGGTGACCGCCGAGGCTTTGCGCAGCCCCATGTGTGCAGGGAGTCTCCCAAATGACATCTAGACTCTGCGTAGGGGTGTGACTCACCCTGCACCCCAGCTCCCCGCCCATCCACTCCCAGATCCGAGGCACCAGGGCTGTTTAAGAATCAGCAGAAGCGCCTGTTTCTGCAAAGCCATGACAAGGGGCCCTGGCTGGGCACTTCTGCCGCCCAGGCCCAAGGAGAGGATGGCTGCTGGGTCCCACAGCACTGGGCGAAGCCAGCTGCCTACACCTGTAGGAGCCAAACCAGACACCAGCCCAGCCCTCCATCCAGACCCCTGCAGCTGCCGGTGGGAGGCTCTGGCCCCTGCCCCTGGGGACCTGAGGCGGTTGTCTTCACGCTGCAGGGGGGCGCTCTCATTTATTCAATAAATAGCTCCACCCACCTGCTGCAGCAAACTCACATGCTGTTGCTATTTATTCTCGCTGCTTACTGACACCAGAGGGCGACCTTTATATATGTTCCTTCAGTGCTGGGGGTTGAACCCTTGCACACTTGCTAAGAAAGTGTTCCATCACTGAGCTATGCCCCTAACCCTTTTTATTTTAATTTGAGACAGGTCTCACTTCTCACTGAGTTGTCCAAGTTGGCCTCTAACTCTTAGATCCTCCTGCCTGAGCCTCCTGAGTACAGGCCACCCTTTGTATTGAGAAATCACTGGTCAATTTTCAAAGTCTTTGAATGTAACTCATTTGCTCTCCAAGCTGGCCATGGAAGGGTCCCCAGGGTCACACAGCTTGGGACAGCTGAGCCTCCTTCCCCAAGCTCTCAGGGGCAGTCTTGTTCCTGAAGGCATCTCCATCTCTGTTTGCGATCCAACCTACTCCCCTGTGGATGCAGCCAACTGGATAACTAATATCCCCCACTGCAGCTGTGGAAGGCAGACCAGGCGCCTAGGACTGCAGAGCCACATGCCCCAGGGAAGAGTCAGCCCTGGGGCAGAAGCAGACGTGGTGGAAAACGGGCCTTTGTCCTGGCTATCAGGGGCTGGGGATGGAATCTGAGTTTGGAGTGGGGCAGACTTGGGCCCAGGGGAATAGCAGCCTCTGCTGGAAGTCACAGCCCTCCAGGGCCTCCCACTCCCCGGCCACATCCCAGCCAAAGGCAACCTGGAAAAACACAGGTCCACGGTGCCGTTGGGGAAGAATGCTGTGTGTTGCAGTTCAGGCTTAGAAACAGACACCACTAGTCACCTTTCAGAATGCGGAGCCAGGGTCTGTCACAGAGTTTTGGCTTTGTGCTCAGGAGTAGAGAACCCACTCAATTCAGGAACTGCTGAGCCAGTACATGGACACACAGATAGGAGTCACACAGGGAAATTCTCCGAGAACCACGGGGCAGCAAACCCCGCCGCCCATATGGCAAGTTTCAGCCAAGGTGTGGTGGTCACATGGGTAACACCAGCTACTCTGGAAACAGAGGCAGGAGGATCACAAGATGGAGATCAGCCTGGGCAACTTCATGAGACCTTGTCTCAAAATAAAAGATTTAGAAAGCTCAGTGTGAAGGACCTGGGTTCAGCCTTCAGTACCACCAGAAAAGAAAAAGACCAGCTTGGGGTAAAGCATCTCTAGATTGGGTACCCAGTACAGCAAAATCAAAAAGGGTGTGTTCATGAGGGTGCAGATTTAAAAAGCCCTGACGAGCCCACAGCTCCAATTCCCAAAGCCCTGAGGAAAGTGTACCATGCCAGGGTCATAATGACACTAGTATCAATGCCAAGCGTGGTGGCACACACCTGTAATCCCAGCACTCAGGAGGCTGAGTCAGGAGGATCACCATGAGTTCATGGCCAGCCTGGGCTACATAGCGAGACTTTGTCTCCCTCCCCAAATAGTGCTGGATCCGGGAGCTTCAGTTGCTGAACAACCTGACAGAGAACAGAATCTGCATCTGGGAAAAATGCAAACTTTCAGGCGAACGACTTAAATTTTTTAAAAAAGTAGATATAATAATGAACCAAATAGAATCTCTACAACAAATAATAATTGATCTTAATAACTCAATGACATGCTTCAAAATCAAGGCAAGGATGAGATGAGGGAAAGCAGACAGAGGGGATGGGTGAGGGCAAAAGAGAAGGAGGAGGACGGGTAAAGGGGCCAAAGGAATGAGGAAGAAGAAGGGTAGGGAGGAAGGCAGGAGGCAGAGAGGGAGAGGAGTGGAGAGGAGGGGGCTGCTTGGTGAAAGTGGACATCCCAGCCCATCATCAGTCAGTCGGGGTGCATGTGTGCTAAGCCCTGAAGAACCCCGGTGTATAGATGACGGGTGGATGTGGAGGGTAGGAGGATGGGTAGGTAGAAGACCTGTGAACAGGTAGTCAGGTGGCGGATGGGTGAACAAGCAGTAAACAAGTAAGCAGGTGCAGGGGTAGACAGCAGAGGGATGGATGGGTGAATAGGTAAGAGACAGAGCTGGGTGGGTTGATAAGTGAGTAGAGGAGTGGTTGGGTGGGTGACCAGGTGATCGAACAGATGAACAGGAGACTGGCTAGACTGGTGGAGAGGTAGATGGATGAGTGAGCAAACAGATGGGTAGGAGATGGGTAGATAGATTGGTGGTTGAATAGGTAAGAGGATAGGTAGTCAATGGGAGGTTTGGCTGCACTGTGGGGACAGAGAATGAGGAGGCAGATGGATGGCAGAGAGGGTGGTGGATGGATGGTGGGGATGGATGATGGGTGGATGGGTGGATGGGTGGATGGGTGGATGG